TTCTTAGTTGGGATCAATGATTAGAAATTCACAACTTGAGACATATGGTATATATATGAGGGTTTTCTTGTTTAGATTATTTCGCTCGACGTACCAATCTCGTGTTATGGATTTCTAATTGTTGGTTTCATTAGATTATCTTTTCTTAGTTCGGTATTAAAGTTTAGATATCTACAATTTGAGATATATGATATTTATATGAGGGTTTCCTTGTTTGGATTATTTCGCTCGACGTACTACGTCTCGTATTGCAGGTTTCTAAATGTTAATCCCACTTAGATACGGGGAAAATGAATCTAGGTAGACTATGCTTAATAGATAGAGCCTTCACTCCATCTAACGGCCCTTCCCCTGGGGGCGGAGGGAGATAATCTTGCTGTAGCGCTCTGACGCTCTTGTTGTTATTCTTTTTCTTTTAAATTACTTTTCAGGTAGTTTGGAGTTTCGAAGAGCCGCAGGGTAACGGAATTCTAACATAGTCGCCGTCACGTATTCTTACTTGTAGAGACTCCACTGTAGTTTTGAGTTTCATTTAGACACTAGAGTTTCATATTCATATTGTAAAGGTAGTGTGCCTTAGTACGATTTTTAGTTGATTCATGTTGAGACATTTTTATTATTTAGATATCAGATGTATTATAGTTGAGACATGATTCTTTTCATTTATGAGATATCTCTTCTATATCATGTCTATTACATTTATTTCCTTTATTTTACATGTTTTGTACCTGCACTTCTATTTGGTTCCACTAGAGGATATTGTTGTGATTGGTGAAACGTGTTTATGCACAGTGTGGGTGCATGGCAGGTTTGACATCTCTAGTTTCACCTTGGACTGTAGCCTTGTGTGAACCCAGGAGCGTCACAGTATCATAGACCTTACCATCAGGACAAGTGATGTGGGTCCACCCAGACCTCCTCGGTGATGAACAGTAGACTTCGAAGCCTTCGAAAAAACCCAAAGACAAACCCTGTAATGTCATTTCTGCTATTCCGGATGGGGACAAAGCAGAGATGAGATCCAATTACATGCACCGACCACCTGAAGACATGCATCCAACATCGACTTCATGGTCGTTCGAAACATGGGGAACGGATATCGTAGAATCGATATGTCCGCCATCGACAAGAGGTCATCGCTTCATTCTTACGATCACCGATTACTTCTCCAAATAGGCCGAAGTAACTCCCTTAAGAGAAGTCAAGACCAATGATGTTATCAGATTCATCAAACATCACGTTATATACCGATACGACGTCCCCAGACGTATCATTCATGACAACGGCACGCAATTTGTTAGTCATGCATTCACTCGATTCTGTGATAAGTTCAGGATACAGAACATTTCCTCCACAGCTTATAATCCCTCAGCAAACGGTTTAGTCAAAGCCTTCAACAAGACGATCGTCAAGATCCTAACCAAGCTGACCTCCAACAGCAAACACGATTGGAACAAGAACTTGGCGAAAGTTTATGGGTGTATCGCACGACAGTTCGCACACCGACCGACACCACGCCTTACTTATTGGTATACGACTGCGAGGTCGTATTACCTCTGGAGATTCAGATTTCATCCCTTCGCGTCGCCCTCGCAACGAGAATGACGACTGAGGATAGTCATCGACGGCATCTTGCAGAACTCGAAGCGCTAGATGAGAAGCGGCTTAAAACTCAGCAGCACATTGAGTTCTACCAAGCCCGAATAGCCAAAGCTTTCAACAAGAAAGTCAAGCGTCGATCCTTCAAGAAAGGAGAGTTGGTCATCGCTGTTCTACGACTGATGATTCTCAACTCCAAGAAGAAGGGTAAATTCCAACCCAAATGGGAAAGACCGTTCGTGATAGAGACAGTCTATTCGAATGGAGCTTATCGCCTCGTCAAACCAAACGACGACAAGATCATGATGCCTATCAACGACAAATTTCTGAAAAAATATTACCCTTAGTCCTCCTTCAATGTCCTTATACTCCGACTAGTATACGAGTATAAACTGATTCTCCTTATCCTCCTATTGGTACACGAGGCTAAACTGTTCTTATTCCCCTGTCCTACCACTATTATACATGGCTAAACTACTCCCTACACTTTCATTTTGGTCAAAACTTCCTACAGTTAAGACCAAAAGGTAAAATCCCCTCTCGATTCATTCCACGAACGAAGGTTTCACCAAATTAAGCGTTCGGACCTTTGAACAGGTAAGATCGCCTCGAACTCCCGCTTGGTCAAACCTTCGGATAGTTAGGACCAAAGCCACAATCCCTCGCCAATCCTCTTCAATAGGATAGCGGGAACCCACAAGCTAGCAGGTTAACAGTCAACTCCGTCATTCCCGCAAATGACGTTGCCCGGGTAGTAGCCTACCATGCGACGTGCTACTATTCTGATCAATTGTCACACTCCTACGTTCCTGGACAGCATGATCCTTTCCGTGTGTTCTAATGTCCTTAGAACAATCGATGGGTAGTGATCTACCATGTGATGTGCCACTATATCGATCAATCGTCACACTCCTACGTCCCTGAACGGTTTGATTATCCCGACACCATCATTCCCGCAAATGGCGATGGAACTCTCGCTTGCAACACTTAGCCAGCTGGATGCCACCCACGCGCCAAATTTCCTTGAGGCTATCAGCCACAAAAGGGAGCATATCATAGAATCTTCCGCTACCTTGACTAACGATAATAGTCGTTCGTTGCAAAGCGCCCTCTAACTTTTGGAGAAGGCCCTGCACTAAAGCCAGGTCCGGGGGAGAAGCCCTCCCACCAAAGTTAACTGCAGCAGGAGACTCTTCCATCAGCTCATCATCGTCAGAAATGATGATAATTTCGGGCCTCTCATGGCTGGCTGAGGGTGGTGCCTTCCCGTGCGACCTTAGGGCAAGAACTGCAAAACACAACAAAGAGGGACTTAGAACTTTAAGCTTCGCTTGTTCGCCAAACAACTGAGCACGTCTGACGAAGACAGAAACTCGCCAATCACGCTAAGTTCGCCAAGTAGCTAAGCTCGCTTGATGAAGGGAAGAGCTCGCAGAACAAGCGAAGCTCAAAAAGCTCGCTGAAACAACGGAATCCCACCGAAGTCGACGTTGTTCGTCGTAGGAAGTGAACAAAGGTTGTTCATCTCCCAACTCTCGCCCATGTGCAGGGCTGTTTTAAGCCTACAATCCCCGAACTTATCTCGTGATCGAGTTCGACTTGTGACAAGGGCGGTGGTCACAGCGACGACGTCCGCGATGTCGGCGACGAAGGTCAAAGCCCTCTTCTTTCCCTTGGAAACACCAAGCTTCATCCTTGAGGCCATCTTCGACTCTAAAAATGAGAAAGAAGCTTGAGCTTTCTAAAAGAACTTCGTGAGCGCAAATAATCTCCCAAGAGGAGGGCGAACGCGCTATATAGGCCGGGTCTCGACGGTCAAGATCCACGAGCCCGATTGAAGCAAACAGTTCAGATTGCTCGTGGCGGTTCGAATTCAACAACTACGAACGCCACAGCCCTCAGGATTATGGACCAATGGTTCAGATCGAGCGCGGAAGGCGAGGCACCACACCGCTTCGCATTTAATACGAAGCGACTTGCCCACGCCGCCTTAGCTAGCAAGCACGTAGGCCCTAAGATGAACACGTGGTTCGCCAAGCTCGCCTGCACATCTAGGCAATCAACAATCCGCCTGCAAGTTCGCCAAGCTCGCCAGAGCACTAGGCGGATATGATGTCACATACAAGGATAGGTCTTCCTATTTCCCACAACGTGAGGGGGGAGTACAGTACTCCGCACCCATCAGGTAACTACTCAAAGTACAAGTGAGAGGCATAACATCTCTCAACAATATATGATCACATCCCATGATTTAAGAGAGTGACCATGTTGTCTCTTCCCTATTTAAAAGCCTCTCCTTACTACGTGAAAGGGGTTCGCTTTCAGCTGGTTGGTTGATTTCTCAGTTGGTTGGCGATCCACTCTTTGCATTGTTCTTACACCGTAGCTCCTTCCAGCTTTCGGCCTTGATAGTCATTAAGCTTGGGAACTCGAACTCGATCAACACGAGCTTCTACTGCGTACTGAAGCTCACCTACGACTTCGCTCGGATCGTCCAAGGGAAGCAAACTCGGTTCCAGCACCGAGGAAGGCATCCTATCGCTACCGAAGACCCCACGTTAAACAAAGAGGGCATTCCCTTCGCTTCTGTTGTAACTTTGATTTATTTGTTTGTAATAAGCTATTCTTATCAATACAAACGAAATCCTCGTTTCGGGAAATCAAATTTTACACCCCACAGTGTGACATCTAAAAAAGTTCTGCAATTGTAGTTTTTAAATTGACTTCTACAGTTTAAAATGTATTTAGCACTCATTTGTATTATTTCTTACTTTGTGAATATTCTTTTATGACAGTGTTACATGCTATTCATGGAAGTTTCTATCATCTAAAATCCTATATGTTCTCATATCGTACTTTTTGACAATAGCTTAATAAAATTTAGCATTGGTAAGTTTAAAACTTGTTTGATCCGCTGATGATAAGTTATATGCTCATTAAGTTTAAACTCACTCCAATATTTTCAATCCTTTTCAGATGAAGATTAGACAACTCTATCTGTAGCTCGGAGATTTGGGGACATGTGAAGGATTTGCTAGAGTGCTTTGATGCTAAGAGATAGTTATCTTAGAAATGCTTTGTGTTTATGTAATAAGAGTTTTTTTTGACTCATTGGAGTGAACTTGTTAAATGTAATTTTTGCTCTGAGACTTCTATATTGATAAAGTTTGTTTTATGTTAAGTTATATTTGTAACATGAAAGTACATAACAGGATTAGCATGTCTTTCGCACATGTTGTTGTCGTCATGCATCTCAAACCATGTTGTGCATTTGGGGGTGAAATAGGTACAATAGTATTTCTGGATCCAAATGAACTTAACTCTAATATAAAAAACTGGCAATAAACTTAAGTGCTCGGGAAAAATGAAAGCAAGACGCATTCTTAAAACAAGAGACTTACCAAGATTTCAAACAGAAGCTTTTTCCTACAAATGCTCCAAGTCCCATCTCGATACTTTTTGCAATTTCAACGACTATGCCCAACCTCTGTAGATGGTAAGTTGTTACAGTTCCTCTAACTGGTTTTCCATCAACTAGAACAGCTTTCATCCCTCTGAAACAACTCAGTGGAGTTTCAGAAACTGGCCTCTTCATGTCACCAACAGCAGTTTTCTTGCATTCTTGGAGAACAACAGTAAAAGTAAATGTGCTTCCGATATTAGGCTGGCTTATGAAGTTTATCTGCCCGCCCATCATTTCCACTAGACATTTACTTATACTCAAGCCAATTCCTGTTCCTCCATAATTCCTTGAAGTCGAGCTGTCCGCTTGCATAAATGGTGCAAAGACTCGATCTTGGGCATGTAATGGAATCCCAGTTCCAGTGTCCTCGACTGATACCAAAATAGTTACATAGCCTGAAACTTTCTCATTCGGTTTCCCTTTTTCCATAACAATAGAGGAGAATTTCTCGCAAGAAAGCATCATCTTAAAATTTTCCCAACTGTTCCTGTTATCAGCAGCTTCCAGTCCACTTAAAGTTTTGAATCCAGAACCACTTGATTTAACATCAACTTCATTTACCCATGCTTTTGGGCTTCCATCAACTTCTGCACCCAATTCTGTATTGGAGGCCTCTGCCAAGCTAACGTGGACAAATATGTGGCCTCGCTCAGTAAACTGTATACACATGATGGAAGAAGAATATAATAACCAACTGAAGAAAACTACAGATATAAGTAGACTATTGACACACTAATGATAGACTTTTGCTTCAAATACTAACCTGAAGACTCATGTTACAAAAAATAAAATTTTAGAAAATTAGGAGGTTCTATTTTGCAATATCTTGAATGCCACATTTGACAAGTAGTTAATCATGCTATGTCATTTTGGAGTTCTAACTTTCTAATGGGTGAAAATACTAGATCCACCTTTTAATACATCTATATTCCTAAGACTGCCATGTCATCGTATTGCATTTTGAAATTAATGATTAGAAACTGTGCTTCACCTATCCTCAAGTTTATCATGTCCTAGAAAATTAACATAGATTTAATCCAAAATATTTTATAAAAAAAAGATAATTAAGAAAATTTTGAAATTGCACCAGGTACTAATGGATACTTACTTTAACCGAATTTCCCACGAGATTTGTTATTATTTGCCGAAACCTCCCTGGATCACCTCTAACAACCTCAGGGACTTTGCTGGAGACGAAGACAGCAAGCTAGAGTTGTCCAACAGAAGCATCAACAAGTTTAGATTCTTAAAGTGCAGTTGTCCATATCACATCATACTATATAGAAGCACGGCTATTGTGTCATATACTATATCATTCTATATTCCTACTTCAGAGGGAAATGGTATATCAAAAAATTACAATCGGTGACCAAATTCTTCGCAAGCCAATGTGGAAATAAAAAATAACAGAATATATGCTTACAACTATTGATTTCTCACGAAGAAATCAATGTTCACAGAACGCGTAACATAGGATCCAACAAGTACTCAACGGGATTACCTCGATTCCCTTCTCTCGTGACTTTGAAGAGAACAAAGAGAGCACATCATCCAGGACGCAACGTAGGTTAAATGGTACTTCCTCAAGCTCTAATTTCCCAGCCTCAATTTTTGCCCGGTCGAGCACTTCGTTAATCAATGTTATTAGTGCTCTCCCACACAGTTGAGCAGTTTGAGCGTAGTCCTTCTGAGTCAAGTTCAGATCTGTATCCAAAAGCATATCTAGCATACCTGATAGCAAGAAATGGCAGTAACCAGCTTTATACTCTCCAAGTAGACCAAAGAACCATTAAATGAACTAAAGACTCAAATACACTGAGCTGGAGACTCTATAATCTACTTCTGGTCCACAAGATCCATAACCCATCCAAAAATAAATACAAGAAAATGACGGAAATTATATATAGAGAGAGATGGACATACCAAGGACGCCATTCATTGGTGTCCTTATCTCATGTGAAACAGTAGCAAGAAACTGCCACGTAAAAAAACTTTAGCTTTAAGCAGAAGGAATAGTTATTCATCTGTAATCATAAATGAAGTATTTAACCTGAGATTTAGCTACATCTGCGGCCTCTGCTTGGACTTTTAGCTCTTCCATCTTTCGACAATCCTCTCTTACATTGTCATAGCGAATCCAAGCAGCATATAGTATATATCCTGCAAGCATACATATCACAAAGACACCGGACGGAGTAGTAATAGCCCCCAACGAGATGGGAGGCTTCATTCTGTACCTGTTCATTCCACAACAAAATGCAAAATTACTTTCGTAAGCCATAATCTATGCAACAAATATATGTTGATTCTCCTTACCTGCAATTCATCTGGTGCTTTCTGTATGGATCTCCAAAATCAAGTGTACTATCATGTGAAAGAGACATATAACCCTCCGGATTTTGAGGTCCATACATTACTAATGGCAAAGATCTGTTAGTAATATCATACACATTCACCAGTATATCCTGACTGCCAGCAAGTTGTCTCAGTAAATTTTCCACAAGTGATTCAACATCAAAAGCCCCGCCAATATATCTGCCAAATACAACACATTAATAGTAAGGTTTTGAGAGTCTATTGTAGTACTTGGATTCAGGAGTTTCAATCTCTGCCTGGAGACAGAAAATAGGCCTCTTGACAGGGAGAGTTCTGTCCTCACTTCGGGGTTGGCTTAGTCCACGCCTTGGAGCAGTTTTCGCTCCCGAAAGACATGGAGATCCTGCAGGAGACGCCAAGCGCCGTACTGCATTTGACCCTTAGGGGCTATCTTCTGTAGGGGGCTTTGATTGAGCAGGAGCTGTTCTCTCGGCACAATTTCGCGTAGAGACTCCCTACCAAATTTGAGGAGACTATAGCA